CCAGAGAAAGCAATGACTGTGTTTGTGAAAACAAGGATGTGGGGCTATGGACTGCGATGATCCTCTGCCTCGCTCAGAAGCAAAGGATCATGGAAGCCATTCGAGTGGAATAGCACTCCATCCTGGAACATCCTTCAACTGGACCATATTTCTCAAGTGGTGGATAAAATGTTGCCTTGTCATTCTTCCCTGCTGTTTATTCTGGGGATGCAATGATGCCGGAGAATGACAACTCTAGATTCGTTGAGTTTGCATTGGGCTGCCTGCTCTCAAACAAGGTTTCTGAGCAAGCAACTTTATGCTGGTTGCTCTCCTCCAAGGATTCTCGAGTTCTTCAAGGTCTGGGATAAGCACAGGCATGATCAGCTCAAGAGCCATGGAGTTTCTGTGTTATACTGGAGGAGATGTTCTGACCAGGGACGATCTAGTTGTTGGTAAAATGCTTTGAAGTCACATGCTTTGAAGCTAGCTGTTTGAGAGATGGAACACCATGGTCCAAGACCAGCCATCCCGAAGAAGCTCTCTTGAAGGTGGTAAGGCTGATACGTTCACGTTTACCAGTTGCGAGCATGCATTGCTACAAACAGTCAGTACAGTGTTACAAAAAATGGCGTGGAATGGCCCTCAACATTTTTTAGTTCTTTTTGTGCAAGTTCAGCATAATCCACGCTCCATCCCAGATCCTCATGACCCTAACCATGATTTCCTGCGGTAATCGGCATCCTTATCAACTGCTCCAAGACCCAGAGGCTCGGTCTTGCAAGAGGGACAAATGAGATGCAGTGGTGTGGAGTTCCAGATCAGGCCATATCCAAGACGCTCTGGATATCTTCTCCCAGATGGATGCCTATGCGGAAACTGGCATGCCTCAGCCAGCGCAAGACCTCTCATTGGGATTTCATGTTCAAGTCGGAGACAATGGTGGTCAACTCTCTTATGCAAAGGTTTGACAGGATGAGCTTCCACTCCAGGAGCAGATATCATCTCATGGACTGCCATGATCTCAGCTCACACTTAGCACAGCTGGAACTCTAAGTCAATGGAACTGTTCCAGAGGATGCAACAGTGGAGCCAAATCAAGTGACTTTTATGAGTATCTTGACCAGGAGCGGTTGGTGGTCACCTGTTTCATATGGTTGATCTTCTTGGACGAGTTGGGTGCTCAAGCATGCGCAAGAGATGGGAGAGTCTAACTCTTCTCGTAAAACCAAGGAATTGCTACCGTGTGCGATGGTGGAGAGCTTTTGGAGGATGGTAGGAGACTGAGATATGGCCTCATGATTGTGGAAGAGCACTAGATTCCTCAGATATTCCAACAGGTCCAAGGATGTGACTTTGCTTGTGGCTCAAACCCCACCCTTGTTTAGAAATTTGTTCTTGTAACTTCCCTATGGGAAATGTGAGACTGCTGGCTCGATTGTTGGCGAAGACAATCTCCACCATCACAACATTGTGGCATGGAGATTATCTTCATGAACAAACTGCTGTTTCAGCTCTAACTTTTATCAGACTAGTAAGCTTTAATTTTCTTGCTCTTTTCTGTCAAATTTGTTTCACCACCTTCGGACTCTTAAAAGAAGTTGCCGTCAAGCAAGGTAGAAATGCTGGTTAACTTTCGAACTTAGAAGGACTATGCACACGGATTACGCTCCAAGCAATGCATCATAGCCCGGAAGTTGACACTCCAGTGATGTTTGTTGAAATTTGTAATTATCTTGTCCCGAAAATGTTATTTTTTTCTATTGTTATCACTGACTAATTGAAACTTTTAATGCTGTAGCGCATTGATGATCGATATGCACTTCAAAATCCACCCCCCGTGAGAATGTGTTTCTGACAATAAATTCTTTATCATAAACTGAGTAATGAGATTCAGCACTTGAAAATTTATGACTTTCAAAAGCAATTACATTATTGTCTTGCATGAGCACAACACTGATTCCAGCATCACTTGCATATGTCATCACTATGAACGACTTTGCAGGATTTGGAAGAACAAAGACAGGAGCCGTCGTCACTGCCATTTGCCACCCTGACGTCCAATGGTTCCTTAGTCATCAAGCCCAGCCACTGTAGTATTGCTCTTGACATGAAGTTGTGAGAACAACCATTATCCAGCAACTCTTGGCCTTTTAACTAACTTATGGCATGCAATTTGTAGCTTTGCACATGTAAATTTTTTGCACGTCCACGTGGCAAATGTTTATTCACATGAGCATCAATGACTAATCCATGACACATAGCTTCTGAGGGCTCAGGAATGGCTTGGTGTGCTGGGCTCGGAGCATCATGATCAGAGCAGCCTCAGGTTGGGAGGAGAACTCGCAGCAGTCCAAGAACCATAGCAATACTTGGATTATTCATGCCCAGATTGCCCAGAGATGCTTGATTTTTAGGGTAAAAGTTGGGCTTTTTCCAAAAGATTTGAGATGGGGTTATTATTGGCCTATAAGCTACAATCGGGCTAAACATGCTATTGTAAGCCACAAGGACATGCAAGTCCTCAACTTGGTGGACATTAAGATACCCCTCCAATATATTTTTCTATCTGCTCAACTACAATATTAATTCTTCCATCATTGCCTTGGGATCCCCCATGGCATCTCTTTTTCTTTTGCATTGACATCAATTCATGTAGTGCTTCTTGCAACTCCAAAACCACCACATATCAATCGTGGACAATAGCCACCTCATTCTTGCTCACTTCTTGAACTTGTTAAATCACTTTGTGGTAGGGATTGTGAAGATTCTAGGCTAAACTATGAGAATCCATTGACACTCACATATTTCGCATGAGAGGGACCATTCCATTGAGATTTAGTAGCATGGCTAAAAGGAACCTCAGGCATGACCTCAAGCTTCTCTAGAGAATGGTGAGAATACTCTATATCCAAATCTTTTTCAGTGGAAAGACATGAAGTCACCTCAGAAAGATTGGTTGCTACTGCCTTGCCACTCAGGCCTTTGACCCGTGCCAATTGTGATCCTTCTACAAAGTCTCCCACTCAAGGAAAGCTTGCTCTTTCTCACATCCTCCTCACTGTTGAACTCCAAACATACCCATACCACCCTCTTAAGCATCTTTTCCCTTGGCACTAGCTAGAGGTGTTGCCATTGGTGTCTTTCCTTGGGTGTGCTCTTTTTCCTTCTCAGCAATATCAATCTCACTCTGCTTTGCTTTGTAGAATATTCACCCGGTCTTGAATTGGATCTACCATTGGCCATCTACCTACATTCAACTCATCAAGAAGATGCCACAACAATATTGGGTTAGTGATTAACAAAAGAAACTCACACTTTAGAAGCTAATTCTCTCCCCCATATATAAATCATCACACAATGTCTCTAATATCAAGAAGGGTGCAATGAACAAACTCATCACTCAAGCTACATGGTATGGAAAATCTGACATGTCAGCCTAGTGATGCTTCCCTGATCTCTCACTAATATAACCCTGTCACCCTTTGCTTGCTAGTGGTGGCCTTACAATGCAAAACAAGTTTGCACACTTGACTTAGCCTTGCAGTGCACTTAAGATGCCAACACAAGATCTCCAAACATGCTTACTTCGAGGTACTCTAGACACTAAAAGAAACACACTTGCTGTTCAAACAAAAAACCCATACAAAACAAACATGAGCACACTTCAATCCAAGCTATACTCAAGATGCTCATAAGTAACCACACTCACTCTAGAACACACTAAGACATGTTGTCAAATACAGAATCCCCAAGGGGTGGGGTGAGGTTTGGCCTCACCTAACCCTCACTCCACTCTTATTCTCCAGCTCTGAGGGATCTCAGAATTCCCTCATAAACCCTAATCCACATCACTACCTACTAGGAAATTGAGAGCTTACTTTGTTCCAAGTAATACTGAGTTAAAAATTCGAGACAAGCTTCATGACTTTAAGCAACAAGGTACCCATGTTCAAGAATTTTTATCCTTGGTCTTGGAAGTAGAGGACATGACAAATAAATAAAAAATGCACCAATGTATATGGGGACTAAAGAAAGCTCTGTGTAGAGGTTGAGAAGGCCTTACCTAACATTTTTGTGGATGCCATGGAATACTTGCGACATTCATGGCGATCTGGAGGATATGAACTTTAAAAGGAAGTAGACAGCTAGGAGTCATGGACAAAGAAATTTAAGCAACTGAGTATGGGCTCTGTTACATTTACAATGACCCAGGACATCTCTTCTGGTAGTGCCACTTAAGACCAAGAAGACTGGAGAAGTGGCATCCTCCTCCACTCCAGCAGCCACGCAAGCAACATCACACCCTAAGCTTCCGAACGTCTTACCACAGATGAGTGCTGCTCAAGCAAAGGCTAAATTTGGGCTGCACGATACCTTTTGGTTGAAGATTTACCAAAGAATATTCTAGAATATACTTTGTTGTCACCCATGCACTATATGCCCATTCTAATTCATACACAATTCAACATAGGCATTGAGCCAATAATATGTAGATCAGAACTTATGTTGCAGGCTCTTGTTTCTTGGCTGTGAGCAAGTTGCAGCAAACTCATTGTGTAGGTGGAATGGGGTTTGTTCAAACATGTGATGGTATGCAAGAGATGAAAAGTGTTGGTTGCGGTGGTGTTGGTCTTCCAGAGCCAATGTTAAGTGCTTTGATCAAGAAAGCTGAAGATCATGAAGGTTCCCACCAATCAATCTTCTCCTAGGCATGCTACAAGGTTGGATCTTATTCTCATTTGATCCTCTTGCTGGCAAGTCCTTGTTCATGAGTACTACCAAATCAACAACAAGGAGCATTTCAATTTGTATTGATGAAGGCTTTTTCACATGAGTTTGATCCAAGAGGAAGTTGACAAAGGCAGTTGTGCAGAGGAAGATGTTTTTGAGCGAGAAATCATTATGCAGCTCATACAATGGAACAACGTCAGCAACAAGAGCTGCCACAAGCATCGCCAGGACGAATTTTCAGTATCACCAGGACGATTTTCAACACTAGGCCGTGCATTGTCCAGGCATGGTGGAAGTTATCTTCTAATACAATACATGAGAGCTTGGAATCTTGCTAAGTGACAAAATTTAATAGCTTTCTTGTATGGTTTGAGGATTCCTTTGCCGGAAGTGAGAGCTGAGAGGTTCGAACAAGTGAAAGTACACTGAGTCACGGTATTCCTAGCAGAAAGCCATCAGGTGTTCAAGCTAGATATCGTGACCGTTCGCTATTGCATCATCCTGTAAACCTTAAATTGCAAACCCGACTACCGAACAAGGTAAACGTACCTCTTCTAGTTTCATGATGGCTTGGGACGCGCCGGCAGCATCAAGCAGAAGGATGTTGTAGTCCTTGATGTCCTTTTTCTTCTTGGTCACATCAGTGTTCATAGCTTGGATCTGCACAAAATATTGTTGTAAGAAAAACTATTTTGCGAGAACATAAACAACGAAAAGAAACAATACTTCAGAATCCACTTCCGCTCCGTCTTGCCGTGTCACAGACGTGAGTACGTCAAACAAAATACCAGCTGTCTGATAAGCTTTCGCAAGCGACGCCCTGTTAATCCAAATCACAGTGAAGCTTTGACATTCAAATTCATGGCTATGAGACCTGTCCTGATGGTCGGCCTCCGAAGCCCTGACGTGTTTGTCGTAATAGTTTTGGTAGAAGCGCTGCATCTCCCGCGCATCGCTTCTTTCACGCCTCGCAAGCCTGGAGGGCTCCTCATCCTGCCCAAAAGAAATAAGAACACCAAGACAGCGAAAAAAAAAGAAAACTCCAGACCTTCTCCAGCCGCAGCAGAAGCGCCGTCTTGAACTGCCGGACTCCTCGACCACTCGAAGAAGGATCATCATAGTGAGCTCTGTCGTAAGCATAGAATCGACCTATCAATCCACGAGAAGAACATAGATAAGAAACCGACCATTCTAAAGAATCGCTATATAAAAACTTACAAAGATAAAGCCACTCGTTGGCTGTCTTGGCAACACGGAGTATGGCGGCAATAGGACCCAAGGACGATGGCACGACCTCGCTATCGAATTCGGTCCGGAACGTCCCATCGTCGTCATTGCTCACGACGATGGAGATCGATCAGAGGCGGCGTAATATCGAATCTCTACTCCAATAGATGATGGATCCCAAACCTGCAAGCATTGTGAGCCTGAAATCCTGGACAGGCAGGAGATGCGAGCTCGCTACCTAATCGCCGAGGCGCCAAAACCCCAGGGTTCTTGCTCCTCGCCTAGACGATGAACAGCGATAGTCCCAGCACGAAAGCCGCCATTTGCTTCTGGCGCTCCCTGCGGGGTGTCAAGAACACTTGCGGTTCGATTCTTCCACTCTTAATCTGTTGAAAACTAAGGAAGAAGACAAAAACTCTATCACTCAGATATCATCTCATTATACATACACGGGTAAAAGTCAGATCCACCACGTGTCATCACGTGTCTCAGCCGTATGGTGATCCTACCCCACTCAGCCGAGATCAGCGTGTGAAGGCTGTATCAGAAAAAATAAACTAATGCTAAACCACTGTGAATCTATCTCACTCCCCCCACTCAGCCAAGAAAAGCTGAGTTCATGAAATTAGCATTTTGTGGTGTTGAACAACAGTAGCAGCACATTCCAAGGTACCCAAGCTTGCACACAGCTCAGTTTGTACCAGGACCTGTTAGGAACCAGCATTTTGTTCCATCTCCCCCACTCAAATGTGATCTCTCCATCAACCTCAAGGCCCTTGCGCACAGCAATTCCCAGGAAGAGAAGAAGCCTCTTGGCAGCATCAGCAAATCTCCAGCCCAAGGTAGCTTTCCCTTGTAGCAGCAGAGGCATCAAATCGTCTCCAACAGTAGCAAGCAGTGCCACAACCCTTCCAATTCAAATCCAGGCCAGGCTCGATCAAGAACCGCCTCCATTTTAGGGTTGCCTGCACAAGACAAAATAAACAAGAAAACCTCCATCTTGATATTTGCAATTCACAGCCGCTCTAGATCAGGGGGCTCGTCGTCTTCCTCCTCTTCCTCCTCCATTCAGCCTAGGGTTTAATCCCTGAGCTCTGATACCATGTTGAAAACTAAGGAAGAAGAGAAAAACTCTATCGCTCGATGGTCGAATTAAGCAACCTTTACTAAATGCCACGTAAGTGGATAACTTATGGGCGAATGGTCAACTCTAAGTCCAAAATGCTTCTTCCGCTGGACGCAGAGGAGTTTGGGGCTCTTGTGTCAAGATGTGGCAGATCCAATGCCCTGGAAGCAGGCAAGCGCTTGCACGCCCTGATCGCGCAGCTGCGATTCCATGGCCGACATTCGCCCACCAGGATCGGTAATCTTCTCGTGGACATGTATGGCAAATGCGGCAGCGCGCACGACGCGCGCACAGCATTTGATGCCATCGCCGACAAGAACGTCTTCTCTTGGGGCTTCTTGATCGCGGCCTATGCTAGCACGGATGAGAGATTTAAGGTTCTTCGGGAGATGTGCTTGGAGGGAGTGAAACCGGACAAGGTGGCGTTCCTTAGACTGGTGAGGTCTTGCTTGACGCTGGCGCATGGCAACCTTGTTCGATCGCTCCTCGAGGAGTGTGGGCTTAGCAGGGATTTGCAGATTGCCACAGAGCTTTTGAGGATGTATGGATCACTGCAGGAAGGCCGAATGGCTGGAAATTTTTTTGAGAGTCTTGGACAGAAAGATCTGGTGGCCTGGAACGCGATGATCGATGCTCATGCCCAGTGCGGGCAATGCAAAGAGGCATTTGCAATTTACGAGAGGATGCCTTTGCAAGCGGACAAAGTCACCTACACGACGCTTCTTTCATGCTGTGACGATCTGGTCGATGGAGAAGAGATACATGCTTGTGTAGTGAGGGATGGGATCGAATGGGACGTTGCCATGTCCACTGCATTGGTGCGTTGCTACAGTCGCTGCGGAAATCCAGAGAAAGCAGTGGCTGTGTTTGAGAATTTCTCAGGGAACAAGGACGTGGGGATGTGGACTGCGATGATCCTCTGCCTCTCTCAGAACCAAAAGATCACGGAAGCAATTCAAGTTTTCCGAGAGATGGAACAGCAAGGTTTCCGAGCAAGCAGCTTTACGTTGGTTGCTCTCCTTCAGGGATTGTCGAGCTCTTCGAAGTCTGGGTTTAGCACAGGCATGATAAACACGATCAGCTCGAGAGCCATGGAGTATCTGTGTTCTACTGGAGGAGATGTTTCGACCAGGGACGATCTAGTTGTTGCTACAGCACTGGTGAAATGCTTTGGAAGTCACGCGAGAATCAATGAAGCTGAGGAGGTGTTTGAGAGATTTCGACTCTGTAGATTCGACTTGGTGCTCTGGAATGCCATGGTATGGGCTTATGCCGAGACCAGCAATCCTGAAGAAGCTCTGTTCGTGCTGAAAAAGATGGATCTGGAAGGTGGTAAGGCTGATACGTTCACGTTGGCGACTGTTTTAACTGCGTGTGCTACCAGTTGCGAGCATGCATTGCTACAAACGAGCTTTCTTCATGATCGAGCGACCAGTTTGGGGCTTGGATCCGATCCAGTCGTGGTAGCAGCACTTATCAACTCGTACTCCAAGTCCCAGAGGCTCGGCCTTGCGAGGAGCGCTTTCGAAGGACTACCGACAGACAAACGAGATGCAGTGGTGTGGAGCTCCATGATCATGGGATATGCAAGATCAGGCCACATCCAAGACGCTCTGGAGATCTTCTCCAAGATGGATCATCCGGACAAGATCACAATCGCGCAGGTGCTGGATGCCTACGCGGACCTGGCATGCCTCAGCCAGTGCAAGGCCGCTCATCGGGATTTCGTGTCGCCAAACCAAGAGCTCGAGTCGGAGACAATGGTGGCGAACGCTCTTGTACACATGTACGCGAAGTGTGGGAGCCTGGACGAGGCCAGGAGAGTTTTCGACAGGATGAGTTTGCAGTCCAGGAACATCGTCTCGTGGACTGCCATGATCTCGGCTTACGCCCAGCACGGCCGGAGCTCCGAGTCGATGGAACTGTTCCAGAGGATGCAGCAGCGAGGAGTGGAGCCGAATCAAGTGACTTTCATCAGTATCTTGAGCTCTTGCAGCCACTCGGGCTTGATCGATCATGCAGCGTACTGTTTCTACAGCATGGAGCAAGATCACAGCTTGGTGGCGTCCCAGAGTCATCTGGTTCATATGGTTGATCTTCTCGGACGGGCTGGGATGCTCAAGCACGCGCAAGAGATTGGGGAGTCTAGCTCTTCTCGCAAAAGCGAGGAATTGCTTCCGTGCGCGATGGTGGAGAGCTTGCTTGGAGGATGCTACACGCAAGGAGACCGAGAGATGGCCTCCAAGATTGTGGGAAGAGCGCTAGAATCTCCCTCGGCGTACGTTAAATATTCCAACATTCGTCAGGTCCAGGTATCTTGAAACCGTGCTGGCCTCGAGCGTTAGTCGTCCACACCTTTTTACATACATCTGGAGAAGCAAGTTCCCCAACAAACCCTTCCAATCAAATCCGCCCAAAGAGATTTGCTCGTGGATCCTGAAAGAGCGCTTGGAGGAGACGATCCAGAAGTCCAGAACATCTCAGCTGTCACTATGGCGAATGATTGGAGCGCGGTGGAGTGGACCAAGTCGTCCGGCTCCAGCATTCGATGGAAGAATTCGATGAAACCTTGCGTCCAGGAGCACGGACATTGCGATCGATGCGGTGGAGTTTGGGGCCCTTGTGTCGAAATGTGGGACGCATGCAAGCGCGGCTGCAATTCCATGGCCGCCACTCGCCCACCAGTATCGGCAATCCTCTGGTGGACATGTATGGCAAGCGCACGACAAGCGCGGGGCATTCGATGCCATCGCCGAGAAAAACGTCTTCTCTTGGGGCTTCAAGATTGCGGCCCATCCTTGCAGCGAGGAGGTGGATGAAGCCGGACACAAGGTAGCGTTCGTTAGCCTGGTGTAACGCTGGAGGAGTGGCCTTTCAGGGATTTCGCCACATAGATTGCGAGGAAGTATGGATCGCTGCAGGAAGGTTGACTGGCTGGAAAAAATTACAGAAAGATCTGGTGGCGATGATCGATGCTTATGCCCAGTGAATTTGCAAGTTTGCCTGCGCGTGGGATCGATTGGGACGTCGCTATGTCCACAGCACAGGTGAAAAGCTTTGGGAGTCGCGGGAGGATCAATGAAGCGGGCTATGCCGAAGAAGCTGCTCAAAAAGGAAGGCTGATAAGTTGTGGAGTAGATAAAAGCACGACTGGATCGGATCTAAGCCTCTGCTCGATCGTCAAGAAAGCTCAATAGCTATAGCAAATGCATGCTCGCAACCGCTCGCAACTGGTAGCACACAATTAGAACATCCAAGACGCTGGGCCACATCCAAGACGCTATGGAGATCTTCTCCAAGATCGATCATCCGGACAAGATCATAATCGCCCAGGTGCTATGCGAATCTGGCACGCCTCAGCCAGTGTAAGGCCGCTCATCGGGATTTCATGTTGCCAAACCAAGAGCTCGAGTTGGAGACAATGGTGGTCAACGCTCTTGTACAGGAAAGTTTTTGACAGGATGAGCTTCACCGTGTGCAATGGTGCAGAGCTTGCTATTGGAGGATGCTACAAGACCGAGAGATTCCAAGGTTGTGGGAAGAGCACTAGATTTGCTAGTTACGATGGTGAATTTGCTTGTGGCAACAGTAACTGCCAAACTCATGAATGCACGCAACAAACCCTACTCTTTGCTGTGAAATTTGTTTCTTTTAAGAACTTGTGAGACTGCTTTAAGTATGTTTTACGAAAACATGGCACCAGTTGAGAGATACAATTGCAATTGCTTGTGCTGCATGGAGCTCCTTGCAACTCAATGTTAACAATAGAAACAATAAAGTTTTAGGGGCAAGATGCTTACCAATCTTGACACAGTGTAAGATCACATCACGTTCTCCCTGGGCTTGGAGATGTTCTTCAACACATGGAAGTAAGTTTTGCAAACTTTCAAGAACCTACGGGTATTTATTTCTTGCCAGTTTAATTTTTCTTCACTCACTTCAATGTAAATGAAAAAAAGAGTAATGGTTTGACAGCTCTGCGCGTATACGAGAACGGTGGTTGTAGTTAATCGGCCTTGGCCCAGGACCACTTGATCATGACCTTCATGGAACGTGTGCTCGTATGGCCCAGGGGAGATCCGGAAACTGGTGTAGCCATACGTCGTATCCTCCTGCAAGGATGTTAATTCCAAAAATGTGGCTGGATGTTCTTGTTCTTCTGCTTCTAATCATCGCCTCCTCATTCTTCGGAAAATCGCAAGCTCAACACAGATAGGAAGGTACCACCAGAACCAAAGGAATATTGGTGCCAGTGGCTCCGGAAAACGATTGTCATTCAAGTCAAAGACTGGATATGTTTGGATCAGCGCACTGATATATAATAGTCCGGCAGTTGAATTCCTCATTCATACAGAGATTTGCAGCTCAACCGGGGACTTGCGACAGCTGTTAGCTCTGAAGCCAGCTTGCTTGCGATTGTACCACCCTTCTCCATCAGGTCGACCGAGTTTTGATCCGGTGGAAGGCTCCAATCAAAGGCATGAATCAGGCTTGCAACTGCAAAGGGGATGAAACGAACAGCAACTGGATGCCCCGGGCACATCCTGCGTCCAGCAGAAAATGGGATCATCTCCAGCTGCGCTTCTTGTCCGACCACCTTGATCTCCGTTCCTTGAAAGCGTTCAGGACGGAAGTCTTCTGGGTCAAGCCAGTGTTTTGGATCTCGTCCAATTGCCCAGATGTTGATGAGCACAGTGGACTCTTTCGGGATCTTGTAGCCAGCTAGAACAGCTTCCTTGGGATTAAAATGAGGGACTCCAAGTGGGCCTGTTGGATGAAGTCGCAACACCTCTTTCAGGATTGCGTGCATGTAAGGCAAGCCGGGGACATCTGAAGGCCTTAGGAGGCGCTCGGTCCCGATTGCCTCTTGGATTTCTTCCTGCGCTTTTTGCATGACAGGGGGATTCTGAATCACTTCTGCCATCGCCCACTCTACAGCTCCCTTCATGTCGTCAATTCCCGCTACAACCAGGTCCTGAAACAAACATCCGACATAGCCCTGATTAGAAAACTGTCCATGGAGAACTTTGCGGATACTTACAGTGACGAGGGCCATAATTGATATATCTGAGAGATTATTATCAGCATCGTCTTGCAGAGACAGAAGCACATCCGTCCAGTCCTTGGGAATGAATTTCTTGCCCGAGGATTCAATGTCGAGTTTGCACTGTTTGTGTTCTTGGATAATACCAGCAAGAAGAGACTCCAACTTTGGCATCAGATCATCCCTCATTCTCCGGTTCACTCCATGGAGATCAAGACAATCAAGTGGCGGTATGAACTTCCCGACATTGATGCTCAGGGTTTGCTTCTCAATCAGGCTGATCAAATCCACAACCGGCACATCTCTCTTTCCAAAGAGAACCTGGCAGAACGCACCAGAGACAAACTTACCAATGAAATGTTTGAGATTGATGACTTTGGAGGCGGTGGCAAGACGTCCAATATCTTTGACCACGAGCGCCATTTCAGATTCTTGGTAAGCAGCAGCAGCATCCAGCCTGCTGGGATTCAGCAAGTGTCGAGCCGTGATCATCTTCAGGTTCTTCCAGGACTCTCCATAAGGAGCAAGCACAACATCTTTCCATCCGAAGCTGAAGTATTCTCCGAATTTTGAAAGTGGCCTGTAAGCAAACTCCACATCATGAGCTCTCAGGACCTCCCTGGCCATCTCAGAGCTGTTCACAACTATGTAAGACACAAGCCCGAGCTTGATATGGATTATGGGTCCATAGATCTTTGTGAGGCTTGCAAAGTGACGGTGCAGCGGATTCCTGAGAGAAAGAAGTGATCCTAAAACTGGGAGAGGCATAGGACCTGGTGGAAGCTGACCATGTTGAGCTTGCACTTTTCTGAGGAATGAGGAGGCGATCATGATTAGAAGCAGAACAACAACAAAAGCCAGGCACATTTTCGGAATCAAGCTTTGAAGTGAAAAACCTAAATCCATCATCTGATTTTAACTTGACAATTAATGAGCCAAGTCAAGTCCAACTATATGTATGGTTGGTACTGATTGATTCCAATGACTCTTTCATGGGCTGACTTTTGGTTGTTGAGTTAAATAATTGAACTATCTGTGATGGTTGAATTGAAAAATGTTATAACCAAGAATAGATCTTTACCTATTCTTTGAGAACATCTGCACTTATTGCCACATGTTTTAACTGCTCGGGCACAACCCCGTGAAGGCCACATACACACCTGTTAACTGCCAAAATGGGCTTGCACCCAAGTTGCCTATTCTATGTGGTAATGGGCTGGTAGAGGCTTTCTGTATAGGTTGTGGAGGCATTAACAAGGATTGAATTGTTGGTCATTATTGTATCTAAATTAGTTCTTCTGCATATGCTCTTTAGGTAACTTAACATGGCTGCTACCAAATAAAATATAAGTTACAATACTATCTTTGTGATTATGGGTATTGAAGTTACTTGTCAACTAATCCTTTTTCCTTATTGCTTTTTCCTTATTCCTTATTGCCATGGTTTATTATGGTTATTATTGACCTGAACCATAATAAAGGGTTCAGGTCAATATTGCTGAACCCGTTATTAGTCTTTGCCTAGAGAAATTGGTAATCACATGTACATTTAGACTAGAAGGGCACTAAGGAAGGAAATCTTAAATTATTATTTAGTCAAACATACTTGACATGGTGATAAGAAGTTTATGTTGTTGATTTGCATTTGCTAGTGTTAAAAACCCTTATGATATTGAGCTTGGTCCCTCCATATTACTAAATGATAATTTACTGTGTTTATCAAACACCCTCGCTATTATGCCATTTATGTTAGTCCTGTTCAATCCCAATTGTTATATATAGAAAGTGTCTAGATCTATTAGTTTTACATATCTATGGAATGTAGAGATTGTCTATAACACAATGGTGTTGGTCCCATGTCCAAATTCACAATTTAAAACCATTCGATATTTAATAAATTTCAAATTTGTTCTAGAGACTAACTTTTGGTATTAAAGGTGGCTAAGGGTGAAAGCCCAAAATATGCATTCCTCAAGGGGGAAGGGGGGGTGGGGTGATTTAATGTACAGTAAGGATAATGAGTATGTTAGACATGGCTAACCAATTTAAGCTATAGTCTAACTCTGTTTGCATGCTTATTTTTGTTCTATGTGTAGTTTGGGTCTAAGCCCAAGTTTCACACCATGCTAGTTGGTGGAGTATCTATGTCCTTGCGTTAGGTCACCAGTATATTGAAATAACACTAAACTATATTTAGCTCTATTTTGCATATTGGTCCTAGAATTGGGATATTAAATGCTCTAGGACTGTTTTAAGTTGCTCCATGTTTTTGTTTCTTTACTTCTTGGGCTGTATACTCATGAGTCACTCTATACTCCAATCTCTAGTTCCATACTTAGGAGTTTTGCTTCGTTCCTTCATTCAATTGCCCAAGGCGCTAAAACTTAGGTTTTGCTCCACTATCCTTGGACATATGGTATGTGGCACATGGCATATAACATATGGCATACAGAGGATTTAAGTTCTGCTTCATAGTTATCCTATGGTAAATCACCATAGGATAAAGGGTGAAAACTGCTACATTTGGTATTAAAGAATATGTTTCAATGAGTACTATCCAATAAAATTGGGCAACTAATTTTGTTGCATATGTAGAGATGAAGATGATGATTTGAGTGGGTACACATTTAGGTGCTAAGGTTTTGCATCCATTCCTTGGGTATGGATTTTGGTTACTTTTTATACTATATTATGTGAGTTCACTCTTAGGCTCATAAGATGGATTGAAATGTTCTATTTGCATGAGTTTGCATTTGGATTTATGAGCCACATTAGCAACTCAAGGTTACACTTTGAGTTGGTAGGATTAATGTTAGCTTATCGGGGGTTATAAACCATGTACTATAGGTAAAAAGCAAACCTCTCTTAGGTTAGTTATGAGTGGCAAATATGTTGGTCCATAGTTGTTTAGCATGGCACTAATGGATCCTTCCTATATATGATTAAAAGTGGATCAATCAAGATTGTAGATTAATCTATTGGTTCAAGTAATCATTGTTGTGCCTTTTCTTAGATTGAACTAAAAGTAGTGTGCACATAGTCTTGAGGTTTGGTCAAAGTTAAGACCAAAAAGAAAGTTATCGGGATGAAGGATTAAACACGTAAATCATCTTCACTTCTTTGAAAGATAATTTGGCAACAAGGTGTGAAATCATTACTCATGTTCAAATTATGCAATTAAGAGTCCTTACCTTGATGTATATTAGTTATGATGGTCTTATAAATGGTGAGTTATGGGATGGATAATAGTGAAGCACTATACCATTTTGTCTATGCTTGCTATTGAAGACTTAGGTTACAATGCTAAATTCTTTTTTAAGGAACCTTGCTATTGCTCCTTGAGTAGCTTGGTGTTGGATTAGTTTTTGAGTTTGGTAAAAAAGAGTGTGGCATGAGCTTATTTATGTTATAAACAAAATTGATGGTGTTTGATGTTGTAAATCTTGATTGGTGGGGTGTAACATTTATGTTGTAATTTGTCAAATAGAGTTGGCATTTGATATTCATGTAGACTTTTAAAGTAATAATGTACATTTGATTGTGGTATTGCTTGATTGATGATCAAGTTATTATGATATTTATATCATATCTATGTGATAATGAGTAATGTGTTTATGAAGTTGCTTGATTAAACAATGATCAACCCCAAAATATTTGATAGTGAAGCTAGTTTATTTGTACGTAGTAACATTATAGTAGCTTTGACTGGATTCTCAATAGTGATCCATTATGCTAAGCTTATGTCAATACTTTAGTTTTTAAAAGGTTGCCTATTGACGTGTTGGAAGGGTTATAGCATTCACTTGCTATGACTTGTTAGTTTATCTGTTAGCACTTGGAGTAAATTATTGAATGGAGAATGTGTGTAGTTGAGACATTGACATCACTAAAACTTGTGCTAGTGGAAATGGCATTATTGAGTGATGAAGAAATTTCCTTAGAGCTTGTTTTCCATTTTTTTTTTTTGTTAGTGTTTTGGCTTTACATTGGATTTCAAACGTGATTAAAGAAGAGTATTATGTAAGCTCCTGAGTTTAGACTTCCCGGGAGGTCACTCAGCCCAGTACTATTCAAACCCAAAGACACTTAACCCTAAATATCCCAAAATTCTTAACCGATTGAAAAAGGGGGTGCACTTTTGTCCATGGGCCCTTTCCCTCTATATTTGAACGGAAGCTGAGAGCTGCAGCTCTCTCGAGAGCCCCGCTCTCTTAACACCCTACCCCTCGGGTTGAGCCCAGCAGGAGCAAACTGGACCAGCCAGATGTCAATCAACATATGGTGTGATTCCCTTAGCCAACTAATAGAGTCGGACCTGAGACCACTCTAATACTAAATGTAAGTTCCTGAGTTTGGACTTCCCGGGAGGTCACCCAGCCCAGTACTATTCAAACCCAAGGACGCTTAACCCCAAATATCCCAAGACCCTTAACCGATTGGAAAAGGGGGTGCACTTTTGTTCATAGACCCTTTCCCTCTATATTTGAACCCCATGGATCATCTCTCGAGTTATTTCCTTTGGTTGCTTATATATTAGTGCAATATGAATATCTATGGTCTTTGTGATTAGGTCTTGGGTATGCATTTGCATTTTGTGGATATTAAATGTCAGATATATAGGCAAGATATTCAATACTTAGACATATTGTTGGGTCATGAGAATTTGTGTTGAGATGAACTTTTGTAAAGTTGTAAGTAAGGAAGAGTTTTAGATTGAGAGTCATTCTTTCTTTAGAATGGAAATTTTTTTACAAATTTTTCTTAGGCTTTAACAATGTCTGATTTGTTAATCATTTTGCTTGAAAACCATTTCATTTTCATAAGCTAATACAAACTAGTGAAGGGGTTAGAATTGAGTTTAGTTAGTTTAAATCATAATGAGTAGTTTGTATGATGTGACCCGAAAGGGAGGCTGACTTTTAGGGCTAAGGTAATTAAGTTGGATAGAGTTTGAAGTTAATGTAAAAAAGTGGCTATTACACTTTTTTAGAAATATGACCCTTGTGCCTTTCTTTTATAATGTTATGTTTAGTGGTAGGTTACACTTTATATTTCTTTAACACTTTATAAGAGTAATGAGCTCTCACAAATTTTAACTTGGTCTTGATGGCCCTGCACCTTGGCTGAGGATAGGAATGTTTTACTTAGTTGTTTGAGGTTGAGATGTTAATATCCATACTATAGCTTTGTCTATTAAGAGGTTATATACCATATGAGTCTATCTTATGGTCTTCACTTTAGTTTAGACTAAGTGTTGATTATGTATAGCTAGCCTCTTCAAAGTTTATTTAGAGCTGTAGCTAAATGTGTTGGTGAGTTTATTATAGTTCGATTGGATTCAAATGGTTATTTAATCTATGCTTGTCCGTGTTCTTATATCTAGTACCTTGAGTGTACCTTTCTATTGGACAAGTGTATGACTTGATAGCATGAATTTAGTGTTTGGGTCTTGTGAAAGGCAAGTTAAAGAGTGATTATTGGTTTCTTTGCAACTGTTTGTATATTTCATCAAGAATTATTGACACTTGTTTAACTCGATGATGATTTAACAGTGATAAACTTACTTTACCAAATGGTGTTGTGGAGGATCATGTCATTAAACTTATATAACTTTTCCATGTTGGCATGTTGATTCTACCTCTATCGATATTATTTGGTTGTATTTGTTGGATTATATTGAGTCTTGGATGTGGTGAATCACTCTTTAATGATATGTTATTTGTAATTGAGTTTTACTAAAGGTTTAATCTCAGATACTGAGTAAAGTATCTTTGACTTTGGTTAACTAAGTTACTAAAAAGCTTTGAGTGGTAAATTCACTTTTGTTTTTTATTAGCTTTGTTATGGTGTTCGAAATAAAATGATGC